TATATATATATATATATATATATATATATATATATATATATATATATTAATGATTGATTTTAGTACATCTTTTATATTGATGTTTTTTCCTGTTTGATTTTTAACAATTTGGTCAACATTGTTGACTCATCAGGCTACAGAAATAAAATTGACATTGATGTAAAAAAAAACAACAAAAAAAAACCTACATTTAAACTATTTTAGAAAAAAATATGTTTATAATTTTGACCAGACCGACATGCTAGTGGCTAGCCTGAATTGGGCCATATCCAAAGTGGATCATAAAACAACTCTATCTCAAAAGATTTTACAGAACTTTATGTGAATGTTGTTCCATAAACTTTTTAATCACTGTCAGTTTGACATTGCATAAATATTTACATTGAACTTTGTAGTTATATCCAGGAGCAAGCAGCAGCAGCCTTTAGCTGTAGCACCTTGTAGCAGCCTGGAAAACTTCCTGTATGAATGTCTGAAGATGCTGCTGGAATAACTGTGAAATTCAAAAATAGCAATTGTGTAAATATTTAAAAATTAGCATTGCACAAACTGCTTGCTATATAATATTTTTAGATTAAGACAGTGGCAATTATCCTTTTGTCTTGGTATCATCTGGTCAGATTTACGCTCTGTTTCCAGACAAAAGTCATTAAGAGAAATCAACAACAGGTAAAATTGCATTTATTCACCTTTCCACAAAGCTGTGTTTATAATATATGTCAACATCTCCTTCAGGTTTCTCGAGTGGTAAAATCAGAGACAATAATCACACACTGCAGTGTATGGTTAAGGGTTAGTTAGTATGAATTTTTATTCAACGCATCATGGTGTGTTTTTATAATGTTTTTAGATTTTGTTTTAAATTTTGCTTCCCCATTTCTATTTTAGTCCCTGCATGTTGAGCTGAACTGCTCTGGTAATTTGTCTCGATTGTTTTCAGCTGTGTCTCATCAGCCCTTTACCAGCGTTCATATTCCTGAATCAAGCTTCGGAGTACCTTTGTGTTTCACGCTACAAGCTTCACTTCTTTACCTTCAGTTTAGTGTTTGCTCTTCATTTCCCTGTATGTGGGTCCTTTTATAATGACACAAGATAGATTAGCTCTTTTTATGAGCAGGCCCAAACACAAGCTGAGAATTGTTGCTCAACATCAAACTATAATCTCACTTACTCTACGCTAATTATGCTTATTGTTCTCAAAGCTCCATCTCACCAGTCTGAGCTCTTTTGCTCCGTTACAAGCTGCGTAATCCTTTACATAATAGGTCTGATTCTTTTATTTTCCAGCAGGTTTAGCACAAGCAGCCACCATAACAAAGCGCAACCCCGGTCAGTCTGAATTTACCAGTTCAGGTGCATTTTACTTGCACCATTAAGTCAGTGATTGCTGGTCGTTACAAGCTGCTCTCTACAAGAACATCCAGATGCTCTTTTTGTCAAGGTCAGGAGCAACAATGGTGGACAGGAAGGAGGGGGAAATGGGAAATTGGTGATGGGGGGGTACATTTTTTTTGCACCAATTGGAGCCTGAGCAGTGACGTGGCACCTGCAGCCAAAAAGAGGCACAAAATGGAGTCCCAGCTGGCCACAGTGGAAGAGCCGGGGGAGGAGCGGAGACTGCTTCAGGCTCGATTAGGCTCACATCCTCATCTCCATCAGCTTTCAGCTCCATCACCCCGAGTCATTAACCCCCAAATTCACTGCTATACCTTTGAGCATTTGCAGCTAAACTTCCAGCTGAGGCTAAAATCGTCTACCTTCACTCCATTTCAGGATTTAAAGGGAACCTAAATCTTGTGGTGCTGACGAGGAGAGCAGAAGTGACGTGTGCACGCCTGAGGAGGTGGAAAATGAAAGAATGCTGCCAGAGAGATATACTTTTCCTTTTTATTTTTAACTTCACGCTGCTCAGCAGACCAGCATGCACCTGTCCCCGCTGGCTGCGACCAGGCTGGCAGCAGCTTCATTTTCCTCACAGTCAACTTTACCGGCATGAAACATTTCCGACCTCTTGGCCAGCTTTTACAGACATTAAAAACAGGGCACATGAAGAACAATCTGTAATAAAAATGAGTGAACGAGCTCATAACAGAAAACGGTGGAGACTTATGATGGGGATGCGAACGAAAGATAAGCGAATGTGAATAAGAGTGACAGTGACGGCAGCCTGTGAAAAGATAAACAGCCCTCGTAATGGCTTTGCACGAGTAATTTGTCACTCCGGGTGAAAAGCAAACAGCAGGAAAAGCAATGGAAACACTTTGCTGTGACACCATTAGAGAAGGATGCATCACCAAGCTGTCCACACACTCTTCAAGAATTCACAAACAGCCCCCCCCCCCCCAACACCCCATCTGAAACTGACTGCTATTAATCTCACTTCAGTAAGCATTGCAGTCTGAAAGGGGTTATGTTTAATAGACCTATAGAGTCCTAAATGCAATCAAAACAAAACAAAATATATTTATGAACAATATGTTTTCAGTGTTTTGTTCTGTTAGAATACTTACAGCAAATAAATCACGTAAGAAAATGTTATAACAAAGACTTTAAACACCCTCTATAAAAATCAACCGTCTAACCACCATTTTACCATAAATGACCAAGTGATTGGTTAGTGTAATCTATCATGTCAGCGCTGCCATCTTGTGGTCCTTTCTGTTACAGCAGACATAAAAATGCTAAAATAATAAAGCTAATTTCTGAATGAATGAAAGTTGTTTTTACAAACATTAAAAAAAACAAAGAAGAAAGTAAACAATATCAATTATTATAAATAAGTACCATAGTCATCAAACACATTTGGTCCTGTAGAGACAAAAATTAAGATTCAACAAATGCTACATAAAAGAGCAACTTAAAGTGAAAATAACTTTTTTTTTTTTTTTTGCTAAGAGGTCATGCCTCTTGCTCCTAAAGTCAATAAACGATCATCCTATTAAAATGCTCTCTGTAGCTCCCCCTAGTGCTTGAATGTGAGAATGCAACAACCTCTGTCTTTTCCCTGAGATGGGCAGAAGCTCTCCGTTGGCCTTCATCTGGTCGATTTTTCGGGCCAGCTCAGCGTCACTGTCGATGACCATGGTGCACCGTTGGGCGTAACTCACCAGAGTCTCATCTCCTTGGCGAAACGCACCCACCAAGGGCACCATGTCTTTGTCTGCCAGATGAAGCTCTGCAATCGATGCAGTGTTGGCAATGGTGTTTCTGTCGATTCCAAGATGGCGGAAGGCGTCACTCATGTTTTTCTTTTTGATAAAGGCCGAGAGTACTTGTTTGTAGCGTTGAATTACGTACTGGACACCAGTGGCTGACGGGAAAAACATGACAGGACAAAAACAAATGATTATATACAGGAATAGAGTCAACTGTCCTCCTCAGCTGTCTTGATGGGTTTTTGCTTTTTTTAAATTAATACTTGTGAAAATACTTTGTTTATTTCTTGTTTAACTGTAAATCCATTGCACAGTTTGAAATATGTTTTCTAAATAACTTTCTATTATCCACTAACCATTTAAGTACTTTAAGTACAAAATTGTTCATCTGTATTAAAACTGGTGTGGTTACTAAAGCTGGTTTAGTATTTCCTTGTTATTTTTTTAATGTTGGACTAGTTTGTTGGGATTACAGTAATTTCTGCATACTCACAACTGCTCAACTTAAGACTTGTTCATTAGGGTGACTTTTGACACTAAAGGCTGATATTTCCCGGCACTTATTCCTATTTAAATTTATTGGCAATGCTTTATTTGAAGGGGCATTCATAAGACTGACATGACACTGTCATAAACATGACATAACACATGTCATGAACATGAACGAGTCTTTATAAATGTTTGACCATTGTCATTAAGTGTAATTCAGTAAATTATGACACCTTTAATGCAAAGTTAACATTGTTTAAAGGTCTTTGGCATGACAACTTCACATTAACCAAGAAATCATAACCTGTCATAAATGTTATAACGGGTATTAATTATCAAACTTTAAAAAGTTACATTACAATACCCTGACATTTGTTGTTAGTCTTAACTTGGGCAGTCACGACATCATTATAACTGTGTCAGTAATACTGCCCCTTACCTCAAGTAAAGTGGAACACATTGAACTAGTTATAAATATGTAATTAAGTATTATTACACTGACAAATACTTTAATAACAGAGTCAATAGTTTCCCTTCTACCACTTTTTTATTTGTTTTGCATAATACATGCATTATTTGTTCTTCCTCAAACAGAGGGGTCAACTACTACAGTTTCAGAACAAACATATAATATTTTTGGATAAAAACAAATATTACTTGTTCTTTCTCAAACAGAGGGTTCAACTTCTGGTTCAGCTTATTGAACTTCTAAACCATTATTGATTTAAAAACTAAAACAGAATTATTTATTCTTTAATTTAAAAAAAACTTATTTCAACAGTCCTAAGTGTACTTGTACATTATTGGGAGGAGTTTTCCATTTCTTTTGTTTGCTGTGATTGTTTCAGTCATCTCCTTTGTTATAGCCTTCGTGCAGCGCTCTGCAAACTGGAATATCTTCTCGTTATCTTTGTTTCCTGTGAGCAGCTCGTTGAAGGCATCTGGAAATGTGATTGGTAGTTCAGCCATTACAGCTTTTCTCGCAATGGTGTTGCGGTCAACATTAATCTTGGTGAAGGCCTTTTTCATATATCCAAACTTACTGAATCTCTTCAGGGCACTCTCATATCGGATAATGACTCCATCCACTGTGTTCACTTAAGAAAAGTAACACAAACAAATAAACAAATATTGTTAACTAAGCTACTTATTAAGTTGATGATGCACAGGGTCATCTATTTGAACTATCTTGCTGGTGACAAGCCAGACTATGTTTTGAATGGATAGTGGAGTGAGCTGGGTTACTACAGTAGTAACCTTTACTCATTACCATTGACGACAGCCCCATTACTCTAAAACAGGGGTATTCAATTATAATTTAAAGAGGTCCAGTCAGACAAAATTTCATGAGGCCAAGGTCCGGAAGTCCAACTATTTTATGTGATATATACAGGTCCTTCTCAAAAAATTAGCATATTGTGATAAAAGGTCATTATTTTCCATAATGTAATGATAAAAATGAAACTTTCTTATATTTCAGATTCATTGCACACCAACTGAAATATTTCAGGTCTTTAATTGTTTTAATACTGATGATTATGGCATACAGCTCATGAAAACCCAAAATGCCTGTCCCAAAAAATTAGCATATTTCATCCCACCAATGAAAGACAAGTGTTTTTAATACAAAAAACGCCAACCTTCAAATAATCATGTTCAGTTATGCACTTAATATTTGGTCGGGAATCCTTTTGCATGAATGACTGCTTCAATGCGGCGTGGCATGGAAGCAATCAGCCTGTGGCACTGCTGAGGTGTTATGGAGGCCCAGGATGCTTCGATAGCGGCCTTAAGCTCATCCAGAGTGTTGGGTCTTGCGTCTCTCAACTTTCTCTTCACAATATCCCACAGGTTCTCTATGGGGTTCAGGTCAGGAGAGTTGGCAGGCCAATTGAGCACAGTAATACCATGGTCAGTAAACCATTTACCAGTGGTTTTGGCACTGTGAGCAGGTGCCAGGTCGTGCTGAAAAATGAAATCTTCATCTCCATAAAGCTTTTCAACAGATGGAAGCATGAAGTGCTCCAAAATCTCCTGATAGCTAGCTGCATTGACCCTGCCCTTGATAAAACACAGTGGACAAACACCAGCAGCTGACATGGCACCCCAGACCATCACTGACTGTGTGTGCTTCACACTGGACTTCTGGCATTTTGGCATTTCCTTCTCCCCAGTCTTCCTACAGATTCTGGCACCTTGATTTCCGAATGACATGCAAAATTTGCTTTCATCCGAAAAAAGTACTTTGGACCACTGAGCAACAGTCCAGTGCTGCTTCTCTGTAGCCCAGGTCAGGCGCTTCTGCCACTGTTTCTGGTTCAAAAGTGGCTTGACCTGGGGAATGCGGCACCTGTAGCCCATTTCCTGCACACGCCTGTGCACGGTGGCTCTGGATGTTTCTACTCCAGACTCAGTCCACTGCTTCCGCAGGTCCCCCATTGTCTGGAATCGGCCCTTCTCCACAATCCTCCTCAGGGTCCGGTCACCTCTTCTCATTGTGCAGCGTTTTCTGCCACACTTTTCCCTTCCCACAGACTTCCCACTGAGGTGCCTTGATACAGCACTCTGGGAACAGCCTATTCGTTCAGCAATTTCTTTCTGTGTCTTACCCTCTTGCTTGAGGGTGTCAATGATGGCCTTCTGGACAGCAGTCAGGTCGTCAGTCTTACCCATGATTGCGGTTTTGAGTAATGAACAAGGCTGGGAGTTTTTAAAAGCCTCAGGAATCTTTTGCAGGTGTTTAGAGTTACGTCGTTGATTCAGATGGTTAGGTTAATAGCTTGTTTAGAGAACCTTTTCATGATATGCTAATTTTTTGGGACAGGCATTTTGGGTTTTCATGAGCTGTATGCCATAATCATCAGTATTAAAACAATTAAAGACCTGAAATATTTCAGTTGGTGTGCAATGAATCTGAAATATATTAAAGTTTAATTTTTATCATTACATTATGGAAAATAATGACCTTTATAGCAATATGCAAATTTTTTTAGAAGGACCTGTACAGACCCTTTCCAAAAAATTTGAATACCATGGAAAAGTTGTTTAACTTCCATAATTCCATTCAAAAAGTTGATCTTTAATAGATGATAGATTCAGGGCCCACAATTTAAACAATTTCAAGTATTTATTTTTTTATTTTTACGTAATTCGGTCTTCCAGCTCATGAAACCCATGAAAACAGGAATTCAAAAAAATAGAATACTGTAGAGAAATCAGCCCAAATTTTGCAGGGCATGAATGTTTCAAACTGAGTGTGACATACTAATTATCTACTAAACTCAAAGCACCTCCACACTTTTCCCCTGGTGTCATTAATTGCTTCAGTTTGGTTCAATTGTCTCAGTTCGGTTCAATATGGGGAAGACTGCAGACATAACAACTGGCCAGAAGACCATCATTGATACCCTCCATAGGATGGGTAAGCCACAAAAGTTCATAGCTAAGGAGGCTGGCTGTTCACAGAGTGCTGTGTCCAAGCATATCAATGGAAAGTCTAGTGGAA